CCCTAGCGGCAGAAGCTCGTACTACATCCGGTTCGCCCTCTATTGACACAGTCTTGAAACTTTCCGATCGCACCTCGTACTGTAAAAGTCACAGAATTCGTCCTCAACAATTCCATCCCTTTTTAAATCTCCACAGTTCTTTGTCTTCAATAGCAATTTACCTCATCCTCAGTGTAATAATCCGTTTTTGTACGAGATGAACGAATAGTAACAAATATTTCAAAAATATCTGCTTCTACCTGCGAAACTTTTGAATGGTAGACTGAGGGTCTTTGAAGATGTTAATACCAAAGGGCTTTATGAACACACGGCTAAGGTGTGGACTGGATTGAAATAGCCTCAGCACGGTGATCATTTTATGCGTTACGTAAAAGCACAGAAGTTGTTGGCATCAGCTGCTCAAGGAAAACCCTGTGTTATGGCGTTTGTCTCCAAATTCAGGATTTTCAAGAGCGTTCCCTTGTTGAAAACTACGGTGGACGGAATGATAAGAGCGGGCAATCAACACAATAGTCTGTTCCAGACGCAAAGTACTGGTCCAGTTTATTTATAATTCAGAGCGCATGTAAGAAATGTTACTAGAATCGTGAGAGATGGGGACACGTGTCCTCTCTAGCGCATCCTCCGCATTAAACCAAGTGCAGATTTTTTTTAATGAAAGTAATTTCAACTTCTTCTATAATCTAGATGGGATGTCACGATGGGGTGAAATTGAGATTAAAATTGTAGCAAATTGGAGAAATACCGTCGTACGGTGCAAGTAGCTAAAATGTGAGTCAGAAGGCGAAGACCGTCTAAAATCACGTTCACACGCACAGGAAAAATGTGGGAATATGTTCTCAATTTTTGAGAAATGAAATTTTTATTTTCTACGACGTCATTTGTCTCCGTGTTAAGTGACTACTGACAGAAAACTGCAGCTAAAACGGCGCGTGCTGTACACACGGCACTCGAGACTCAAAAATTATTTTTCCATGCAGGCGAATTTCAGGACAGTACCTTCAATTAGGCCGCGATCGTTTCCTTCCATATTTTCACTAATTCACCAGTCATCAGTCAAACATCATTGGACAGTGTGTGTTCTCAGCTTCTGATATCGTCATGAAATAAACCACAAAAAGAAAACACGTAACCGGAACGAAATTTTCTATCCACTGGAAATAACTTCATGGAGCAAATTATGCCTAAGTTAAGTAATGTGTTATAGCAGGCCCATTGATGGTACGAGGCACACAGGTCGAGAAACAATGTTTTAATACACGATCCGACCACCCCCCCCACACCGCCGAATGCCACCCCACTCCATAACGAGAAGTTCTGGAGCAATTACTTCCCTGTAATTAACTCTGGATAAAAGTGGAAGCCATTGAAATGCTATTGGTACAAAACTGTCACGCACGGCGGTCGGTGGACGGGTTCCTCCGACACCATCTTCAGCTGGCTTTAAAAGAGAGATTCCTCCAGCTGGAGTACGGCTGTTTTATGTATGCTCTATACAACTCAATAGCCTGGATGTTTTT